ATTTAAGTGTGACATTTTTTGAGTTTGTAGAATATGTGGGATCTGACTCCAGATACCGAATTGCTGATGGAGCTACCTGCAGAGTACACATTTGAGACTGCGCTTGCGGACCTCATTGTTAGTTCTGGATTGTAGTTATAGTTTAATTTGGTTGTGTTGTTGATTTTACTTTTTCCTTTGGGTCATTACTTTATTCTACTTTTTTACCAGGATAAACCCACCATCTTTTAGAATTTAGGATAGTCATAAAATTTAGGAAAAACTTGTAAAATTTAGAAAAAGACTTATAAAATTTAGGGAAAGCTTGCTCTTAGAAATTGGAGAAAGGGAATGGAATTTTTTGAAAAAAAATAATAATAATAATAATGGAAAGAATGAGAGGGAGAGAGAGATGTCTTCAAATAGCATTTTATATATATATATATATATATATATATTTATTTATTTATTTATTTATTCAACCTTTGTAACTCTCATCTTAAAAAAAAAAAGAGAGAAATCTCTTAAGCAACCAAGTTTAGTAGTAGGAGAGGAAGAAGAGTAGGAGATTAAGGAAACCAAAGTTCTCAACCATTTTGTCACCCTACTACTAGGTAAGAAAACCCTCTCAACCCTCTCATTTTTTTTATAATTGAAAATCTTCAGATTATGTACATTTGATACATTGTCTAAAACTGTGTTGAATCTGCCAGCATGTTTGCCCGAATTTTTAGACAATTTTATACTCAAAATTTCGAGCATATTTCTGCTACAAAGTTGTTGATAATGATGTCTAGTTCATCCAGAAATTTTGACAATAATTTTGAGCTTTCTACGAATTTATACAAATATTTTTACTAAATCTGAAACTGTATTGAGAATAATCTGTTTTGAATCTCTGCCAGCCTGTTACCCGAATTTTTAGATAATTTTATACTCAAAATTTCGAGATGATTTCTTCTGCAAAGTTGTTGATAATGATGTCTATTTTGTCCAGAAATTTTTGGAAATAATTTTTGAGCTTTCTACGAATTTATACAAATTTTTAACTAAATTTAAAACTGTGTTGAGAATAAATTGTTTTGAATCTGCCAGCATGTTTACCCTAATTTTTAGATAATTTTATACTCAAAATTTCGAGATGATTTCTTCTACAAAGTTGTTGATAATGATGTCTAGTTTGTCCAGAAATATTTGGAAATACTGTTTGAGCTTTCTACGAATTTATACAAATTTTTAACTAAATCTGAAACTGTGTTGAGAATAAACTGTTTTGAATCTGCCAGCATTTTGAACTAAAAAGTTGAGAAAAAAAATATGAATGTTTGGGTTAACTTTTTGACTTTTTATGAAAAAATGTGTATTAAAAAATTGTATAAATAAGTGGTAGGCGTACGGAATGGCAGTACAATCGGCTGGGTGAATACATGGGAAAATATTACCTCCTTTTCGGGCTTTGATTGGAAGGTGTTGTTCGGCCCGTAGGGGCCCACCACGGGTCCCGTTTTTCTAATCGGAACCGTTCAATGTGTAGAACTCGTCGAGTACACGTTGATTGGATATCGATAGCTATCTGATCGTGTTAGCTTTTTTTGGTCAACGGTTAACTATAACACCATCCATTTTTTATACAAAATTGATTTGATCATATAGTTAACGATATCCGATAGATGTGATTGTTTACAGCCATATAGTACAAGACGAGTTCTACATATTGAACGGTTCGGATTATCAAAACGAGACCCATGGTGGGCCCCCACAGACCCAACTTTACCATTCAATTTATTGAATGTACACATGTTATTATTATTTTTTCCTTTCATTGGAGGTGGCTGACGTCAGTACGTTGATGGGTGGTAAAAGTTAAACTTTTATATTAATTTACCATTCAAATTAATATTTGTATATTAGGGTTGGTTTGGCAAGTTTAAAAAAAATCAAAAAGTCAAAAAATTACTAAAAAAGTTAAAAAGTTATCACTATTCAAAATATATATATATATATATATAAAACAATTAATATACAAATATTAATTTGAATGGTAAATTAATATAAAAGTTCAACTTTTCCCATCTATCAACGTACTGACGTCAGCCACCTGCAGTAAAAGGGAAAAAAATAAAATAACATATGTATATTCAATAAATTGAATAGTAAAGTTGGGCCTATGGGGCTCATCATGGGTCTCGTTTTGATAATCCGAACCGTTTAATGTATAAATCTAGTACCATATGCTTGTAAAAAATCACGCCTATCGGATATCGCTAACTACATGATCAAATCTGTTTTGTATAAAAATTGGATGGTATTATAGTTAACAGTTGACAAAAAAAACTAACACGATCAGATAGTTATCGATATCCAATCAATGTGATTTTTTACAAATATATAGTACTCGACGAGGTCTATACAATTGGCGGTTTCGATTAGAAAAACGGGACCCGAGGTGGGCCTCCACGGGCCGAACAACACTGTCCAATCAAAGCCCGAAAATTAGGCAATCTTTTCCCATATATTCATCAAGCCGACTGTAATGTTCCCATCTGTACGGCGTACTACATATCTTCTCCTATACACTTTTTTACATAAGTTTTTAATACACGTTTTTTCATAAAAAAAAAAGTTAAAAAGTTAACCAAAACATCTATATTTTGTTCCTCAACTTTTTAGTCTAAAAAAACAAAAAAGTGTACTTATTTAAGACACCCCAAATAATCTCTTAATTGTTTTATATTTTTTTTAATGAATAGTGATAATTTTTAACTTTTTTTAGTAATTTTTTCACTTTTTGACTTTTTTTGAATTTGTCAAACCAACCCTTAAAATAAATAAAAAGTTAAAAATTGATTTTTTTTTAGGGGACTTTGTGATAGACCCCTCACTATCTAATTTGTCTTTCAAAATGACAAGAATTATAAAAGTACTTTCAAAACCCCCTAATATTTTAAAACTTTTTTTTTTTTACTATATTACCTTCATATCTATCAGCTCTCCTATTAAGCCATCTTCATTGTGTATTTCAGAGTAAAGTTTTACTTTGAATCATAGTAAACTTTACTCTGATTCAGAGTAAAATGAATCAGAGTAAAGTTTATTATGACTCAAAGTAAAACTTTATATTGTTAAGTAAATTAACATGTTTTTAACCAAAGTAAAATTTCAGAGTAAAGTTTTACTTTCAATCATAGTAAACTTTGCTCTGATTCAGAGTAAAATTTTACTCTGAATCAGAGTAAAGTTTACTATGATTCAAAGTAAAATTTTATATTTTTAAGAATCAACATGTTTTTAATCAGAGTAAAATTTTACTCTGAGTCAGAGTAAAATTTCTGTGTGAAATTCTTATTAGAGAGATTCTTATTAGAGAGAGAGAAAGATAGAGAAATTAAATAGATCATCTATTGAACAAGCTGAGTATGAACAGATCAATTCAAAAACTAGTAAAATGTTAGACTTTACACAAAAGCAAAAATTTACTCTGTATAAAAGTAAAATTTTACTCCGAAAAACGAGTAAACTATGAAACTATGAAGTTAAAAGTGAAATGTTACTCTGCACAAAAGTAAAAAAGTGAAAGAAGTATTTGTGGCGGCTGAAGTGTTTGGCAATGACCACCTATTGACAGTAAAATTTTACTGTCATTCTAACACCAGAGTAAAATTTTACTCTAATTCTCTTAAACAAAAAACAAAGCAATAGAACCAGAGTAAAATTTTACTCTCATTATCTGAAACAAAAAACAGAGCAATAGAACCAGAGTAAAATTTTACTTTGGTTTTGTCAAATGAAATTAGATCAAAAACAACAAAAATAAATATAAAAAAAAACAAAACAAACAAACAAAAACAAAACAAATTAATCAATATATCTAATTGAGAAGAAAAACTTCTAAAACTCGATCAACAATCACAAATCTCAATGAAAAGAATACATGTGTTCAACAACACTCATACACACAAATATATATATACACATATATTCAAAACTCAAATCTGTGTTTAAAAAAATATGTATAACCAAATAACTCCACCAAACATGCCTTTGTCGCCTCCTCGAAGGGAGAGAGGGAGGAGAGAGAGAGAGAGAGAATTGATGTGTAACTTTGCAGGAGGTGATTTTAAGCAATCATTAAATGACTTTTCGATCGGCGAGGCTATCGTCAACGGCAAGAACATGAACTTCATGAGAATTGGAAGGCGATACGTCGTCGTCGTCGTCGAAGCTTTCTCCGATCATCTTTGACGATCTCTTCTGCCGCGAAACAGCATCGGAGAATCGGAAGGCGATACGTTGTCGTCGTCGAAGCTTTCTCCGATCATCTCCGACAATCTCTTTCACCGCAAAACAGCACCAGTTCTGATCATCTCTCTAATCCGAATCTCTTAACCTTTACCAACAAAAAAAATGATTGCAAATTGATCAAAAATTTGACACTCCCTGATTATATATGCAAAAGCTGTCTGTGGATTTAGAAAGGAAAAGAGTGGAGAAGAGAGTGAGAATAATTAGTTGAGGGTATAATAGTCATATAAAATATTTAAATAATAAATTTTGTCTTTTATACAAGACTTTATAATTATGAGGAAATTTAGAAAATATAATTTTTTTCTTAATCATTTTAACAATAAAAGGAAGGTAAAGAGAATTTATAGTTAAATTTTTTCTTTTTTTTATTTCCCTTTATATAGTTAAATTTTTTCTTTTTTTATTTCCCTTTATATCGTACGAGGAAAAAAAAGTACACGGGGTGCGCAAGGCGCCACTCCCTGCCAGGCCGCCATTCAGACTTGAAATTTGTGGGCTCCACGGATCGTTTCTTCACACATGGCGCCATTCAGCGTCCCCTACCCTGTGCGCACTTGGCGTACTTTAGCGTGTACCCTCCTCATTCCATCGTTTTGTGCCTCTGCACAACAAGTAAGATTCATTTATCAGCTTTTCATATATAAAGTTTTAGTGACCATAGGTTGTTTTGATTATATATATATTGAATTCAAGCTTTTTTGTGTATTGGCAGAGAGTGAGAGAGAGAGAAATGGAAGAGAAGAAGTACGTAGCGAGGCCGATGAAGAGGCCTTCCCGTGACTGCGAGAAGTCGGAAAGGCCGACGAAGAGAACGTCCATGGAAGTGGTGACGATTAATGACGATGATGACGGTGGAGGAGGCCAAAGGTTATATAAGTTTCGATTGTTGTTACCAAACGGTATGAGCTTGGGACTCAAAATCCGAGATCCTCAAATGGAAATGTCTATCGAAGAGTTTGTTGAGCTAGTGAAAGAAGAGTATTTCAGGGCTGTGCGTCTAACGAATCCTCAGAAGCCCAAGCGAAGGATTAATTGGAAAAGCAACGACTTGCATTTTGTGGATGTTTTCGATAACGTGATCGCGAGAAAAATCAGTTTCAAGAATTTTATGCCCCATAAGTATCACATTCTAACGCTTCATATGAGTCACTAGAGAGTAAATTAAACTGATCTCGAGGTTTGAAGTAAATACAATAAATCCTCAATTTTGAAATAATTACATTGAGCTCCCTTTTAACAACCTTAAAAGGAGTAGAACCAATGCAAAAAGGGTAAAGATACAAAGATAAATGATATAAAATATGCATTTCAGTGCAAAACTGATGACAATGTCAAGTGTTATCTGAAATTAAACCTTGGGGGAGTTCAATGAAATTATATTAAATTTGTGGGGTTTGCTGTATTTTTACAAATCATCAGCATCAGGAGAGGTCTGTGTAAAAAAAAAAATATAAAAAAAAATTAGTGCTTTTCGTTAAATGGATTTTAATGATTACATGTTGATTATGAAACAGGATGGTTCAGGGGAAGCAGAGACTTATGAGGTTGGTGGTGCACTTTGTGTCAATATAGTATATTATTGAGTTGGGCACTACAACAGTTCTTTGATTAACCATATGCATTTTTTTTTCTTCTTCTTGTTGATTTAAGTGTGACATTTTTTGAGTTTGTAGAATATGTGGGATCTGACTCCAGATACCGAATTGCTGATGGAGCTACCTGCAGAGTACACATTTGAGACTGCGCTTGCGGACCTCATTGTTAGTTCTGGATTGTAGTTATGGTTTAATTTGGTTGTGTTGTTGATTTTACTTTTTCGTTTGGGTCATTACTTTATTCTACTTTTTCACCAGGATAATTCCTTGCAAGCCGTATGGTCCAATGGTGTAAATGAGAGGAGATTAATTAGGTATGCATTAGTCTGATATTTTATTCCATTATGTTGATCTTGTTGAATTATAATGTCTTTGAGGTTGCTAAACTATTTTTAAAGATTTTGTTAAAATTTGAAAAATAAAATGAATACTGTGAATGTCAAGAGATGGAGCCAACCCAAGTACTTCTGAAATGTAGAAGAGAACCACCAACCTCTAAAAAAGGAAAACTATACTGAAAACCTGATTCATTATTTGAAACCTAAACAATCTCAAAAAGGGAATGAAAAAAATTGTCTCATGTCGGAGTTTAATAATGCCTTTGAGAAGATATGACAAAAATTGTCAATAAATAAGAATACACCTGATTAAGGGAAGCGATATAAAAGTTTATTTATTAGGAAGTATTTATTCTCTAAACTGGTGCTTATAATTTTGAAAGATAATATAATATCTATAGTGTGAACTATATATGGGACACTTTCAATTAGAAATGAAACCTTAGGTTACACGTATATTTTGCATGTACGCATACATATGTTTGTTTGTTTATTTTGTTTTCCTTTTGGATCATCAGATGTTTCTCTACTCTATATGCTATACCTCTGCTGCACCTTTTAAGGTTTTGTATCTCTGTTACGTTGGCTGTGTTGCTATTATCAAATATCATATTTCCCTACTGTTTTTTTTGGCAGTGTGGAACTTGATGATGATAGAATTTCAATTTTTGACACTGGCCCAGGAATGGACGGTAGCGATGAAAACTCCATAGTTAAGTGGTATGATGCAGCATCGTTCTTATTGATTTTTTTGACTTATTTATTGGTTGATGCTCCTTTGTTGGGTTTAAATTAGCAATATGAATTGAGGTTATGTCAGTTTTATACAATTTGCTTGGATAATATAGTTGACTTGTTTCCTTGGAAAAAGAAATAACTATATCTTTTTGTAAAGGAAGTTAGAATGGGCACTTCAAATGCATGCCGATGAAGTATTGGTATATGTGGAACAAAGAAGTGTCCAACCAAACATAAAGCGAAGTCCTGGTATAACTTTTAGTTGTGAAGCTAGTATAACAGAAGCAATTCTTGCTCGAATTCGGCCTACAGTTGTATTTTAGATCTTAAGGTTGCTGTCAAATTAATCTTCTTATGTTGTCTTTAAAGATTGGCCAGAGTTTACTTACTGATCTTATATATAGATTACAGAAGCTAGGGAAATTTGAGGTAAGAATCATATTGGCGACAAGGAAATGGATGTCCTTGGAAAAAGATTAGGAAGACAAAATGACCGTGTAAAGGTGGCTTTCCTCGCTTGGGCCTGAGCGAAAGGGAAAATCCTTGCCATTGACAAAATTATTAGGAGATAAATCCTTCCTTATTGGTGTTGCATGTTAAGGAAGATGAAGATTCTGCGATCACCTTCTCTTCATTATGGGCGATCATCTTCTCTTCATTGGGGTCCCTAGGGAGTTGTGGAGCTTTGTGTGTTCCTTGTTTGAGATTTCATGGATCTGTCACAGGTTGGTTATGGATATTTTCATTTATTGGAAGGGTTGTAGGATGAGTAAGAGGACACGAAAGGGGCTGGAAACAATGCCTTTATGTTTGATGTGGTATTTGTGGGTGGAATTTCTGCTGCATATTGTAAAGAACAATTTTGTATTACAGTCGGGTTGCAGATAGGGTGGATAGTTCTTTTGATTCTTTTTTGGAATTTGTAGACTCCATGGAATCTTGGGGTCATGCAGAGGTCATTTCAATTTTCTTTGTGTTTTGTAGGTGGGTAGTGCTGTCTCAGACTCCTTTATTATAAATACTGTTACTTATTGCCAAAAAGTTATTATATGCAGATTGTAGATGAGAACATGCTTACCAGTTGGATAATGACTGTTACTAACCTAATGGAATTCGTGATTTCTTCTCTCCCATGTTTGTTTTGCTTGTATATTCAATTTACTCATGAAATGTTTTCCTTAAATAGAATTAACTGGAGGTACTTCATTTTTTCTTGGGAGAATTTGTGGTGTACTTAAACACTTATTTTTGGGTAAAGGGTTATCCTATAAATTGAAGATTAATTGTTTAAATGGAAAGAGCAACAAAGGACTGCAGAAAAGAAGTAATTGCAAATTGTAAATGCACTCTATATAACCACTAGAAATCCTTGCACTGGATAAGTCATGCTTCCACTGAATTTGTCCTATGGTTGGTTTCATATTCTTAGCTTGCCATATGATAGCTGTTTTTTATGAACGTTTTGTTTACATTGCCAGGGAAAAATGTAGAAATTTCAATATTTAATATAGGGAGCGTTGCAAATACTGGGCTTATGATATTTTCTTCTCTGTTACCTGTTATGTTGTTTTTTGATCAGTTATCTGTTATGTTGTTACTTAACATTTGGAGGGTAAAAAACAATGCCCAAATAGTACACATTAATGTGTGTTTGAGAGGGGAAAGATTGGGTACACACCTAATCTTTGGCATAGTGCACAAAGTGGTTGCTCCGAGACTTGAACCCATAACTTCAAGGTTATTAGGCCAAGATTTTGCCATTGAACCAATGGTCACCCCTTTGAATTTCAATTTATTATGGTACTTAGTCATTGAAATGTTTCTTATGTCATTTTTGTATCTTTTAGGGGAAAGATGGGTGCTTCTTTGCACAGGTCATCGAGAGGGCAAGGAATAGGAGGCAAACCTCCATATTTAACGGTATAATAAGTTGTAAAATCTTTTCCTTATGCATACATTTTTTTTTTTGGTTCTTACAACTGGGATTAAAGTATTTATAGAGTAAAGTTTACTATGATTCAAAGTAAAATTTTATATTTTTAAGCAAATCAACATGTTTTTAACCAGAGTAAAATTTTACTCTGATTCGGAGTAAAATTTTTGTGTGAAATTCTTATTAGAGAGATTGTTATTAGGGAGAGAGAAAGAGACAGAAATTGAATAGATCATCCATTGAACAAGCTGAGTATGAACAGATCAATTCAAAAACTAGTAAAATGTTAGACGCTACACAAAAGTAAAATTTTACTCTGTATAAAAGTAAAATTTTACTCTGAAAAACGAGTAAACTGTGAGACTCTGAAAGTAAAAGTGAAATGTTACTCTGTACAAAAGTAAAAAAGCGAAGGCAGTGTTTGTGGCGGCTAAAGTGTTTGGCAATGACCACCTCTTGACAGTAAAATTTTACTATCATTCTAACACTCTCATTATCTGAAATAAAAAACAGAGCAATAGAATCAGAGTAAAATTTTACTCTGGTTCTGTCAAATGAAATTAGATAAAAAAAAAACAAAAACAAAAACAAAAACAAAACAAATTAATTAACAAATCAACATATCTAATTGAGAAAAAAAACTTTTAAAACTCGATCAACAATCACAAATCTCAATGAAAAGAATACACGTGTTTAACAACACTCATACACACAAATATATATATATATATATATATATTCAAAACTCAAATCTGTGTTTAAAAAAATATGTATAATCAAAGAACTCCACCAAACATGCCTTTGTCGCCTCCTAGAAGGGAGAGAGAGAGAGAGAGAGAATTGATTTGTAACTTTGCAGGAAGTGATTTTAAGCAATCATTCAATGACTTTTTGATCGGCGGGGCTATCATCAATGACAAGAAAATGAACTTCATGAGAATTGAAAGGCGATACGTCGTCGTCGTCGAAACTTTCTCCGATCATCTCCGACCAACTCCGACGATCTCTTCCGCCGCGAAACAACATCGGAGAATTGGGAGGCAATACGTTGTCGTCGTCGAAGCTTTCTCCGATCATCTCCGACGATCTCTTTCGCCGCAAAACAGCACTAGTTGTGATCATCTCTCTAATCCGAATCTCTTAACCTTTACCAACAAAAAAATGATTGCAAATTGATCAAAAATCTGACACTCCCTAATTATATATGCAGAAGCTCTATGTGGATTTAGAAATGAAGAGAGTGGGGAAGAGTGTGAGAATAATTAGTTGAGAGTATAATAGTCATATAAAATATTTAAATAATAAATTTTATCCTTTATGTAAGGTTTTATAATTACGAGGGAATTTAGAAAGTATAATTTTTTTCTTAATTCTTTTAACAATAAAAGGAAAGTAAAAAGGAAAGTAAAGGAGATTTATAGCTAATTTTTTTTTTTTTTTTATTTCCCTCTATATCGTACGAGGAAAAAAAGGTACGCGGGGTGCGCAAGGCGCCACGCCCTGCCAGGCCGCCATTCAGACTTGAAATTTGTGGGCTCCACGGATCGTTTCTTCACACATGGCGCCATTCAGCGTCCCCTACCCTGTGCGCACTTGGCGCACTTTAGCGTGTACCCTCCTCATTCCATCGTTTTGTGCCCTGACAGAATGCCAAAGCGAACCCCAGTGCGCAATACGCACCACGTAATTCGCCGGCCCACTACCCACCCACTGACACGCGGCATGAGAAAGGAATAGAACCAGAGAGAGCCAGTGCGCACTGCGCACTCTTAGCGGCCTTAATTAGCCAACTTTGTTCATGCATATAACTCTGCCAACCCATGCGCTTCGGCTACTGTTCGCTACTTTCCTCTAAAAACGCTTTCCTTTCCTCTTCTCCTCCTCTGTCTCTCCCAAAGACCGAAACCCTAGCTCTGCACAACAAGTAAGATTCATTTATCAGCTTTTCATATATTTATCTCTCTATATGTTTGTGAATATATAAAGTTTTAGTGACCATAGGTTGTTTTGACTATATGTATATTGAATTCAAGCTTTTTGTGTATTGGCACAGAGAGAGAGAGAAATGGAAGAGAAGAAGTACGTAGCGAGGCCGATGAAGAGGCCTTCCCGTGACTGCGAGAACTCGGAAAGGCCGACGAAGAGAACGTCCATGGAAGTGGTGACGATTAATGACGATGATGACGGTGGAGGAGGCCAAAGGTTATATAAGTTTCGATTGTTGTTACCAAACGGTATGAGCTTGGGACTCAAAATCCGAGATCCTCAAATGGAAATGTCTATCGAAGAGTTTGTTGAGCTAGTGAAAGAAGAGTATTTCAGGGCTGTGCGTAGTCAAACGAATCCTCAGAAGCCCAAGCGAAGGATTAATTGGAAAAGCAACGACTTGCATTTTGTGGATGTTTTCGATAACGTGATGGCGAGAAAAATCAGTTTCAAGAATTTTATGCCCCATAAGTATCACATTCTAACGCTTCATGTGAGTCACTAGAAATTAAACTGATCTCGAGGTTTGAAGTAAATACAATAAATCCCCAATTTTGAAATAATTACATTGAGCTCCCTTTTAACAACCTTAAAAGGAGTAGAACCAATGCAAAAAGGGTAAAGATACAAAGATAAATGATATAAAATATGCATTTCAGTGCAAAACTGATGACAATGTCAAGTGTTATCTGAAATTAAACCTTGGGGGAGTTCAATGAAATTATATTAAATTTGTGGGGTTTGCTGTTTTTTTACAAATCATCAGCATCAGGAGAGGTCTGTGTGAAAAAAAAAAGAAAAAAAAAAGAACATTAGTGCTTTTGGTTAAATGGATTTTAATGATTACATGTTGATTATGAAACAGGATGGCTCAGGGGAAGCAGAGACTTATGAGGTTGGTGGTGTACTTTGTGTCAATATAGTATATTATTGAGTTGGGCACTACAACAGTTCTTTGATTAACCATATGCATTTTTTTTTCTTCTTGTTGTTGATTAAGTGTGACATTTTTTGAGTTTGTAGAATATGTGGGATCTGACTCCAGATACCGAATTGCTGATGGAGCTACCTGCAGAGTACACATTTGAGACTGCGCTTGCGGACCTCATTGTTAGTTCTGGATTGTAGTTATGGTTTAATTTGGTTGTGTTGTTGATTTTACTTTTTCGTTTGGGTCATTACTTTATTCTACTTTTTCACCAGGATAATTCCTTGCAAGCCGTATGGTCCAATGGTGTAAATGAGAGGAGATTAATTAGGTATGCATTAGTCTGATATTTTATTCCATTATGTTGATCTTGTTGAATTATAATGTCTTTGAGGTTGCTAAACTATTTTTAAAGATTTTGTTAAAATTTGAAAAATAAAATGAATACTGTGAATGTCAAGAGATGGAGCCAACCCAAGTACTTCTGAAATGTAGAAGAGAACCACCAACCTCTAAAAAAGGAAAACTATACTGAAAACCTGATTCATTATTTGAAACCTAAACAATCTCAAAAAGGGAATGAAAAAAATTGTCTCATGTCAGAGTTTAATAATGCCTTTGAGAAGATATGACAAAAATTGTCAATAAATAAGAATACACCAGATTAAGGGAAGCGATATAAAAGTTTATTTATTAGGAAGTATTTATTCTCTAAACTGGTGCTTATAATTTTGAAAGATAATATAATATCTATAGTGTGAACTATATATGGGACACTTTCAATTAGAAATGAAACCTTAGGTTACACGTATATTTTGCATGTACGCATACATATGTTTGTTTGTTTATTTTGTTTTCCTTTTGGATCATCAGATGTTTCTCTACTCTATATGCTATACCTCTGCTGCACCTTTTAAGGTTTTGTATCTCTGTTACGTTGGCTGTGTTGCTATTATCAAATATCATATTTCCCTACTGTTTTTTTTGGCAGTGTGGAACTTGATGATGATAGAATTTCAATTTTTGACACTGGCCCAGGAATGGACGGTAGCGATGAAAACTCCATAGTTAAGTGGTATGATGCAGCATCGTTCTTATTGATTTTTTGGACTTATTTATTGGTTGATGCTCCTTTGTTGGGTTTAAATTAGCAATATGAATTGAGGTTATGTCAGTTTTATACAATTTGCTTGGATAATATAGTTGACTTGTTTCCTTGGAAAAAGAAATAACTATATCTTTTTGTAAAGGAAGTTAGAATGGGCACTTCAAATGCATGCCGATGAAGTATTGGTATATGTGGAACAAAGAAGTGTCCAACCAAACATAAAGCGAAGTCCTGGTATAACTTTTAGTTGTGAAGCTAGTATAACAGAAGCAATTCTTGCTCGAATTCGGCCTACAGTTGTATTTTAGATCTTAAGGTTGCTGTCAAATTAATCTTCTTATGTTGTCTTTAAAGATTGGCCAGAGTTTACTTACTGATCTTATATATAGATTACAGAAGCTAGGGAAATTTGAGGTAAGAATCATATTGGCGACAAGGAAATGGATGTCCTTGGAAAAAGATTAGGAAGACAAAATGACCGTGTAAAGGTGGCTTTCCTCGCTTGGGCCTGAGCGAAAGGGAAAATCCTTGCCATTGACAAAATTATTAGGAGATAAATCCTTCCTTATTGGTGTTGCATGTTAAGGAAGATGAAGATTCTGCGATCACCTTCTCTTCATTATGGGCGATCATCTTCTCTTCATTGGGGTCCCTAGGGAGTTGTGGAGCTTTGTGTGTTCCTTGTTTGAGATTTCATGGATCTGTCACAGGTTGGTTATGGATATTTTCATTTATTGGAAGGGTTGTAGGATGAGTAAGAGGACACGAAAGGGGCTGGAAACAATGCCTTTATGTTTGATGTGGTATTTGTGGGTGGAATTTCTGCTGCATATTGTAAAGAACAATTTTGTATTACAGTCGGGTTGCAGATAGGGTGGATAGTTCTTTTGATTCTTTTTTGGAATTTGTAGACTCCATGGAATCTTGGGGTCATGCAGAGGTCATTTCAATTTTCTTTGTGTTTTGTAGGTGGGTAGTGCTGTCTCAGACTCCTTTATTATAAATACTGTTACTTATTGCCAAAAAGTTATTATATGCAGATTGTAGATGAGAACATGCTTACCAGTTGGATAATGACTGTTACTAACCTAATGGAATTCGTGATTTCTTCTCTCCCATGTTTGTTTTGCTTGTATATTCAATTTACTCATGAAATGTTTTCCTTAAATAGAATTAACTGGAGGTACTTCATTTTTTCTTGGGAGAATTTGTGGTGTACTTAAACACTTATTTTTGGGTAAAGGGTTATCCTATAAATTGAAGATTAATTGTTTAAATGGAAAGAGCAACAAAGGACTGCAGAAAAGAAGTAATTGCAAATTGTAAATGCACTCTATATAACCACTAGAAATCCTTGCACTGGATAAGTCATGCTTCCACTGAATTTGTCCTATGGTTGGTTTCATATTCTTAGCTTGCCATATGATAGCTGTTTTTTATGAACGTTTTGTTTACATTGCCAGGGAAAAATGTAGAAATTTCAATATTTAATATAGGGAGCGTTGCAAATACTGGGCTTATGATATTTTCTTCTCTGTTACCTGTTATGTTGTTTTTTGATCAGTTATCTGTTATGTTGTTACTTAACATTTGGAGGGTAAAAAACAATGCCCAAATAGTACACATTAATGTGTGTTTGAGAGGGGAAAGATTGGGTACACACCTAATCTTTGGCATAGTGCACAAAGTGGTTGCTCCGAGACTTGAACCCATAACTTCAAGGTTATTAGGCCAAGATTTTGCCATTGAACCAATGGTCACCCCTTTGAATTTCAATTTATTATGGTACTTAGTCATTGAAATGTTTCTTATGTCATTTTTGTATCTTTTAGGGGAAAGATGGGTGCTTCTTTGCACAGGTCATCGAGAGGGCAAGGAATAGGAGGCAAACCTCCGTATTTAACGGTATAATAAGTTGTAAAATCTTTTCCTTATGCATACATTTTTTTTTTTGGTTCTTACAACTGGGATTAAAGTATTTATTGTACAAAATATAAATATAAAAGCTCTTTTACTTCTTGTTCGTGTATATTCCAATATTACTGTATTTCCATATTTATACCATTTCCATATTCTGGGTTTCTTAAATAGTACTCTACCATAAGTCTATAAATAGGCTGTCTTTGTACAGTTTGAATATGGATTAATATTCAGATTTGACTCATTCTTATTTCTCTCTCTTTGGCTGTATTCATAACTTTATCACTTCTGATTCTCAGCTTGGAAAATTAAAGTTTGGCATTGATCTTGTAAATCCTCGTGTTACCATGTTTTTGAGATTTAGTGAGGTATGAAGAATTCAATGTGAAGGGAGCCTGCGTTCGATACTTGGATTTTGCAGTGTCTGTAATTTGACATTTTCAAAACATTACTGCATCATCCTTCGAACCCAGCAGAAATTGGATATACAACTATATATTTGCTAGCCACTTTTTTTTTTGTTGTTAAATTGTAATTTTCTTGTTACTATAAGCATGGCTGAATTCTTGTATGCTTTTTCATTCTCTGTTGAATCTGCTTATTTAAAGGCTACATTTGCTTATGCATCTGTGCAGCCCTTTTGGGTGCCATATCTTATGTAAGACTGCTTTTATCAGTCCTTATATTTCCAAAAGGTTTAGATTTTTGAATCAAAAGTGAGAAAAACACAAAAGAAACACTCTAGACTAGGAAAAATCAGTTGAAGCAATGAATCTAGCGGGGCTGGCATATTATGACCTGTGTGTGGGCAGAAGCAGTGCAATTTTAGAAGATAGGTACATCTGCCAGTTCTGCTGGAACTGAAGGGAACGTAGTAAATGATTGGGAATCTAGTGACCACAAAAACGTATTTAAATTAGACTCAAATTGTCAACAAACTTCACATTTTATATTTACAATACTTGCGCTTACGCAAGCTAGATGTACACAATTACTGAAATACCGTCAGGTGTCAACTATAGGGAATCTTATCTATCCAGATTCATTGGTTCTACACATTTGCTACTTCAGTTCTTCCCAACTTGGACTGATGACTACCATCCAGTACCCATGATGGGCTCTATTTGTGGAACGGCTTGGGGCCTTGTGAGGTTTTCAGACATTGCTCTTTCTGTAATTTGTACATCGTCAGCTGTGTTTACACAGCATTGGTTGCACTCATTTGTGGCCTTGCTAAATGAATCAGCATTTTATCTCTTCGATGTACCATAGGAACCATCAATTATCATATGAATGAGCATCCAATAATTTCTTTGTGAAGCTTGGTATCTTTGGTGGTCAAATTTCTTTTTTATTAAGAACCTTTTTGGGCAACTGCAGCCTTTTTTTGGGATGTTTGGGTATGGAGGGCCAATAGCTTCCATGCATCTAGGCAGGTACGCATTTTATGAAAAAAATTATCATTCCTTTTTCTTCTAATCATGGTCAGGCAATGTATTGTCTAGGATACATCTTCACTATTTTTGTTATTTACTCCGTCATTGTAGGCATGCTTTGGTTTCTTCTAAGACCAAAGAATCTAAGAAGGTCTACATTCTGTGCCTTGAACGAGAAGCTTTACTCTGCAGTTCTGGTTCAGAAAAGACATGGAGGGTAACTGACCTTCCTTTTTTGTTAATTCTTGTTATAAGACTTCTCTCTCTTCTTTTACTCCTTGTTTTAATTTGTACATGTATTTCTTTTTTAGACTGATGGTGGCATCAGGCATCCCACAGAAGATGAAATAAGGTCACATCAATGTTCCTTTACCAAGGTAACTTCTACAGTTCTATGGCATAGTTTTTTCCTTTTGTCTTTTCACCATGATAAGATTTAAGCTCTCTTGTAGAATAGCTTTGGAGGTTTGCTTGTGAGAGGGAAAGGGTGGGAGAGTCCTAATATAGGTGTATATGGGAGAGCTGGTCTTTGACATGGAGGTTGTTATGTCATACGGTATGGGGCTGTGGAATGGTATCCATCCTTGTTGGGTGGGATTCCTTTTTGAATCATATTCTGTTGTTGTGGAAAATGGTGAACATGATAGTTTTTGCAGTAAATTGTTGTATGGGTAACAGAAGTGGGAGGTGGCCTCTATGAAGCATGGACACGTCAAATTTGATGCCGTGGCGGTGTCGGACACAGGGACACGCCGGGGATACGTACGGGACACGCCAGTTGGCGTGTCCTTTTAATTTAATTACTTTTTTTGCAGGGGACACGGCGGAGACACGGCGGGGACACGCGTGTCCACCAAATTTGGACGCGCGTGTCCAAATCTGGACACAAACGGAAAAGAAGAAGAGTAAAGGAGAAGAGAAAGGAAACCTGGTCAGCTTGTCCTTCGAACGGAAGAGAAGACGATGACTTTCGAACCAGTCGAACCAGATCGCGTCTCTCACTCGATCCAGTCGCGTCTCTTCGTCGAACCAGATCGCATCGAACCTTCGAACCAGATCGCGTCGAACCTTGGAACCAGTCGACGATGACCTTCGAACCAGACGATGACCTCCATCCAGTCGCGTCTCTCACTCGATCATGTCTTCAACCAGATTGCGTCTCTTGACTTCTCTGTCTCTCTCTCTCTCTCGCCTTTTCTCTCTCTCGCCTTTTCGTCAGTCATATCTTATACATCTGTATATATGAGATATTCTTATAATATATATATATATATATATAAGATATAATCCTTATAACAGATATTCTTATAATATATATATAAACAGATATTCTTAAAATATATATATATAAGATATAATCCTTATATAACAGATATTCTTATAATATATATATAAGATATAATCCTTATAATATATATAAGATATAATACTTACAATATATATGCATTAATAAAAAAAAACATATTTTGTATCTTATATATTTATATATATTAATAAAAAAAAACACATATATAATATAAAATAAATAAAATAATTGATGTATTAAAATAAAAATATTTATAAAAAAAAATTAAAAAATTTGCCGTGTCCCCCGCCGTGTCCGTGTCCCCATTTTTTGAAAGTTGCCGTATCACGTGTCCGTGTCCGTGCTTCATAGGGTGGCCTCTCCTGCTATGGTTAACAAACATTGCAAATGGCAGGCAGGTTTTCTGGTGGCCTGTGGAGAGTGCTGAATGATTGGGAGATGGGGGAGCTGGTTTATCTTCTAGTATGCCTTTATGCAATCTCGCCTGTATTGGCAAGGGAAATGATTAGTTATGTTGGATGTGCTCAAAATCTTGCTTTAAATCTGGTAAGAGATGTACACAATGCAAGATGCCAAAACAAATAGTCTAGTTGTAAAATGATATTGGAAAAATGCACAATTGGTCATTTGAGGCGCTGTATGACAAGATTTTTCATTCTCTTTTGCATGAGGATTTTGGGTTTTTTCATAGCTAGTTTAAGTTTGATTTTTTGCTATATATGTTTGCTTTATATGATTTTTAACTGTTATTCAATGTTGTCATTGAGTATGGGTGTGTAAGATGTTCAACATATTTGTCTTTTCGCTGAGCCTTGAGGTTATTTGTAATGAATTCTTCGAGCTGCAGTTCATTCTTAGATTACATGAAGCTAATGCCTCAAGGAGTTAGGTCGCTAAGTGAAAACTTCTTAAGTGACTTATTTTATTTGTGAAGTATAAAGCTCATGCATCGAAGTAAATTTAAGTGTGGTTCCATGAGAGTTAGTTTGGAACTGGAAGAAAAACCTTAGTGAATTTGATGACGGTATGAGAAGCAAACTGGCAGTACCGAATATATAATATACAGTTGTTTGAGAAGCATTACAAGTGAACTAGGGTAACATGTCACATACTTGTGCTAGGAAGAAATATGTTAGCAAGTTCTGGCAAGTACTATATAGAAAACAGAACTTTGAAAATCTAGGTGCTTAACAAATAGCTTATATTGGAGAGAAGACTTGCTATATTGAGTTGACTTGACAAATAGATTATACCATTGAAAATAAGCTTGCTTTTCAGGAAAATAATAAGAATTGTGATTTCAACAAAAATGGTCTATAATGTAGCGAGCACACCAACCAAGTCACAGATGTTTTATATGAACTTGTATTTTTTCTTACTTTTCCTAATTAGTCAGCATTGTTTGGGGCTCTGCAATTATTAATCTACAATCAGGCTGTTATTTCCTTCCACACCAGTTTGTCCACCTTTGTCTAGCCTGAAATTTTAGAAAAATTCTATTGAGATCTTCAAGACATTATTCACATCTATATATTGTTATTGGTTACATGAATATGTTGATACTTGATTTTCATTGAAAAATGTGTTTTTTTTTTTTTTTTTTTTCCCCTCTAGTTAAATGCCAGGGTAAGGCGCTTTTTATGTGGCATAAACATGGAAATGGCATGTTATGGAGATGTACATAGAAAATCCTTTTAAAAATAGGACACAAACACAACGAAGACATGACAATGTATTAATGAGATTGCATTTCATACGGCTGTCCTGTAACTCCATTATTTATGCACAACCAATCAAGTGATGCCAGCTCACTGAAATTGTGGATCTGTCAAAAGAATTTCACTCATATTCATACACTGAACCTTATGTGATTGCCTCCCTCTCCCCTCTCCCCCATGGCTTCTTTGCCTCCTCTTCTTCTCTTCCAGCAAGCGCCGCCCACTGTTCACCATTGTTTCCTCCCTCACCACATACCACCACCATTTCTCTTTTGAGCAACGAGATATCCAGAATGGGCTGGCATCGACCATATCCAAGAAACCTCAAGGATGAGGGGGTTGATTGTCAAGAATAAAACCAGCACATATAATGCAAATAATAAACTGAATCTGACTTCCCTTGTATTCTAAATCAAACCCTACCAAATCATCGGTTGGATGACCTAATCTCATTGTAGAGGATGAATTAAACTCCCAACTCCTGAAGTCCATTTAATTGAAAGAACAAACATATTGTTCCATTAATGCTGTAGAAGTAGCAAATAGATGTGATCGACTGCATTTATTTGGATTTGTTAAAATGTACCAAAACCTACCACTACACCTACTCCACCCACTTCACCTACTCTCCACCTACTCCTCACCTACTTTTCACCTACTACACACTCACCCTCTCCTATATATAGGAATCATTGTAAACATAACAAAATATCAATCAATAATAATACATTAGTTTATTTTACATGGTATCAGAGCTGGAAAGGGGAAGCCAGGATCGAGTGAAGAGGGTGAGGCCTCTGGGTGAGGTGTAGAAGGATTTGGTGGATTCGATGCGTTTAGAAAGATTCTGAATACGGATGGACCGAGGGGTCTGTATAGAGGATTTGGGATTTCAATACTGACTTATGCTCCTTCAAATGCAGTTTGGTGGGCATCTTACTCTGTTGCGCAGAGGCTTGTTTGGGGTGGAATTGGATGTTATCTTTGCAAGAAAGACTCGTGCAGGAATGAGAATGGTGGGAACAGTTTTAGACCAGATTCGAAGACTGTAATGGCAGTTCAGGGGATGAGTGCAGCCATGGCAGGTGGGGTTTCGGCTTTGATTACGATGCCACTTGATACAATCAAGACAAGGTTACAGGTTTTGGATGGAGATGAGAATAATAATGGGCGTAAAGGGGTACCAACAATGCGACAAACTGTTCGGAATTTGGTAAGAGAAGGTGGATGGATGGCTTGTTACAGAGGACTTGGACCTCGCTGGGCTTCCATGTCAATGTCAGCAACCACCATGATCACTACCTACGAGTTTCTCAAACGCCTTTCGGCCAAGACTCAAGAGGGAGAGGGAGGTTTGAATTGGTTGAGATCCGGCGGGCGGTCAAGGCAAGGTTGCCGCCCGCCGGAAGGCGAAGAACAACAAGATCTTTAACCTTGCTCTGATACCATGTAAAATAAACTGATGTATTATTATTGATTGATATTTTGTTATGTTTACAATGATTCCTATATATAGGAGAGGGTGAGTGTGTAGTAGGTGAGGAGTAGGTGAGGAATATAGTATAATAAAAAGAGAGATATATATATAGATATAAAATAAAGAAAGTTGGGTAAAATAAAATAATGATGATTGTTGTGCAAAGAGTAAATTGGTTTGGTTTTTTTTTTTGGTTTGAAAAGAAAAGAAAATAAAGGTGAAGAGAAGTATGGGTAATATAGTAATAAAAAAATAAAAAGTTAGACCACTTGTAGAATGTAATATCTTCTTCGCAGACCACTTGGAGATATCCTTGAGATTCGTTGGGTAGGATGTGATTAAAAAAGAAAAGGAAGGAGAGAGAAAGAGCCCTTGTGACGGGGTAACCTTTTTTCTTTTTTTTTTGCCGAGATTGACAGACAAACCCTTCCTGTAACTCTGTCCAACCATACTGCCTAGGTGCCATCGCCGAAAGGAAAGGGGCGAGAGAGAGGAGTGCAAAGATGTCTTAAAATAAATATAAATAAAAAGAAAAGAAGGTGGAGTGGGAACAGGAGTGCATTGATTATTTGATATAATAATAACAGTACCAATCGGTAATCGCTGCTTCTCTGAAACACTTAGCAACCCAAAAACATGGCCTCGTCTTCCCGTTCAGCTACCCAGAATATGGCCTCTTCGTCTCGTGGTCTGCTCACTCTCTTTCCCGACCTCAACGAGTCAACAAGAGAGATAACTGGTGCGGTGGCCAGTGAACCTCAACCAAGCGCCTCTGGTTTTGCTCCGTTGAACTTTCCGATGCGGTCGGTGGAGCAAAAAATGGCGGTGCAAACTGATATTGAGGCCAATCAGTATACATTGAAGTCATGTGTGGAA